AAAAATCATCATTGCTTCGGCAGGGAGGAATGATATGCTATTTTGGACGCTTTTCTCTTCTTTTACTTTAATTTCTTCTAGGCACAGATTCTGTTCCTTTGACAGCAGCACAGCGCTCATTATGTACAGCAAGTCATCAAGCGGAGGTTAGGAGAGTAGAAGCCTGTTCCCTGAAGCAATTTGTTTCAGCAGTGCTGCTAGAGCATAGTTCACAATTATCTTTAATATGAATGAGAAGCTGGAGCCTCTTGAATAGGCAGATGGAGTTCTGTTTTTTCCCCCAAGACCATAAACTTGTCTGCCTCTTTTTTCAAAGTACATTCATCATCTTGTTGCTATTTTGTTTAACCTTGTCCTGCCATTCTTCCCAATTACGCTGTTTAGTTTATCCATTCTGGGTTAGCTAATTGGCTTTGCTTAGCCCTCCTTTTCACACATTTCCATTCCATTCCAGATGTAATTCAAGTCCCATTAGCTCCTACTTCATTTAAACCACCATAGGACTCATGGGACTGGTAGGGCTGTTGGAGACAGGTGCAACTGGCCAGATGGCTGACTTGCCAGGAGGGTGGAGCAGACCAAGCAGGTCCCCTGCCAAATTCAGACTGTCAGGCTGAGACAGTTAAAAGGGTTAGCAGAGGGTTACACCTCGATTTAATTGTTATAGTTCTTCTGTTATTGGTCCCTATTTAGAATCCAAATGCGTATTATTTTCAGGCTTAAATTCAACTTAAGAAACAATCAAGTTGCTTATAAAATATTAGGTATCCACCATTATAATGTGTGCTGCCAAGACATTGCTTGGTTCTATTTTGAAAAAAGGAAGTTAAGACCAGTTAGAGAAATTATTAGAGTGCTAACACTCCTCTGTGAGCAGCTATTTCTATGCTGTATCTGCTATTCCTCTAAGACTCTCTCAGTTTTGAGCTCAGAGGGCACCACTCTGAACCTTGAATAGGCTCTCTTTTATTGGCCAGTGCATTAGTCCGTTTTCATCCTGCTGATAAAGATGTACCCAAGACTGGGTAATTTATACAGGAACAAGCATTTAATGGACTTACAGTTCCAGGTGGCTAGGGAAGCCTCACAATCATGGCAGAAGGTAAGAAAGGGCAAGTCACGTCTTACATGAATGGCAGCACGTAAAAAGAGAGAGAGCTTGTGCAGGGGAACTCCTCATTTTAAAACCATCAGATCTTGTGAGACTTATCAACTATCACAAGGACAGCACGGGAATGACTTGCCCCCATGATTCAATTATCTCCCACTGGGTCCCTCCACAACATGTGTGAATTCAAGATGAGATTTGGGTGGGGACACAGCAAAACCATATCAGCCAAGCATGCAAAATGGAGAATCATGTGGATCTTGACCACTACCAATTCATGATATCCAATCAACTACATACTGGCCTAATTATTTTGCATTATTTTTTGTCAGAATATTATACAAGGTGTCTTAAGAATCACCATCAAATCTGGATTCTACCCACTTTGCTTTTGCAAAGATGACTGGAAATTCATTTCCTTGTTGTCCATTGGCACATATTACTCTATATTGACTTCCTTTCACATGCTTCTAACAATATTGTATACTTAAGGGACATCCTTAGCTTGTAATTTCCAATTCACATTATTTGTTTTTACTTCAATTCCCATTTTTGCTGAACTTGGATCAATGAACAGTGTTAAACCCCTCAACGTGGAGATCTTATTTTTCTACTTGATTTTTGAAACAGCACATTTTTGGTTTCTATTGCATATTCTGGCTCCATCTTCTTTTTCTTTTTCTTAGTGTATTCTCTACACTGTGTGTTGTTCCAGTATCTCTTCAACCCTCTGAAGTTATCTCTATTTGTTTTTCCACAATAAACTGGCCCTTTGGCATCCCACAGTGACTTTTTATGGTGACTCCCTATCTTTGGCTCAAGTACCAAATACTTATCCCAATCCCAGGTTTTTATTATATTAATATAAGAATTTAGGATTGGTAGATTTCAGAACTAGCATTACAGTCTTCTTAGTTCTATGAGATCAAAGGCTATTATTTTTTATTCCATTTATTCCACATTATCTTGTTAATCCCTCCATCTTTTTTTTTGTTTTTTTACAAAAATATTCTTTTATCTCTCTACTTTCTTAGTTCCACTCCTAAGTATTCTGGTCTAAGTGCTCATTAACACATATTTGAAATATTACAATGGATTTTACCTAAAAATAATTGATACAGAAGACAACAGAAGCTAAGTATCATTCACTGTTTACTATGTGGTAGATTTTTTTTAGTCGATTCATGCATGTTGTCATTTGGTTGCCACAATATCCTTATGAAGTAACCATTTTATAGATAAGAACATTGAGGCACAGAGAGGTTATGCAGCATGCCTAGTATATAGAACTAATGTAAGATGTAGCTTGAGCCCAGGATTTCTGAGAACAGCTGTTATAATGCCCCTATTTTCCTTCTTTCTCTCCTCTAATTATGATAATGTGGTTTTAGACAAATACAGGACATTCCTGGGCTTAACAGCTACCAAAAACAATTCTTTTTTCTTTTTTTTTTTTTTTGAGACGGAGTTTCACTCTTGCTGCCCAGGCTGTAGTGCAACGGTGCAATCTTGGCTCACCACAACCTCTGCCTCCTGGGTTCAAGTGATTCTCCCGCCTCAGCCTCCCAAGTAGCTGTGATTACAGGCACCTGCCACCATGCCCAGCTAATTTTATACTTATTTTTAGTAGAGACGGGGTTTCACCATGTTGGCCAGCCTGGTCTCGAACTTCACGATCTCTGGTGATCCGCCTGCCTTGGCCTCCCAAAGTTATGGGATTATAGGTGTGACTCACTGCGCCCGGCCCAAAAACAATTCTTAAATACTATTCACACAAATCAATATGTGCCTATCTTCTCACTTGACTCCTGGGGTTTTCTTCCTACCTTGTTCATCCCTTTCTTGGAATTTTGATATCAGTTATACCTCCTGCACTCTGGGTCTTAAAGGAGAAAAACAGATCAGTATTTAAAGGGAACACATTATGAAGGATAATTTTCCCCAAATAAAGGATCTTTGTATGAAAGCTTATGGCTAAAGAAGTTATATTTTTTATCTTGACTTCATCAGTTATTGCATTAGCCTGCCCCACTGCCACACTTCCAATTTATTTTTACTCTGTATTAATCTTCCTATGTCACCAACTTTTTATGTCATTCTGTTTTGTTTTGTTTCTTAAAGGTGCCTCTTTCCCTGTTTCTTGAAGGATAAAATTCATTGCTGGTCTATCATTCAAAAACCATTGGCAAATAAATATAACTTTACTTTTATTATTCTTACTGTATGTACTTTCTGCTTCAACCAGAGTATTATCATTGCCTCATTAATGTTCCTTTGTTCCCTCCAGTCCCTATGCCTGGTAAGATCTCATCTCTGTATTTTGAAATTCTACCTATTTTCCTAAAGCCAGATCATGGCTTTTATGCTCCTCAGCTCGTAACCGAAAATTAGGTCTTTCATTTCTCTACTCTCATTGTACTCATACTTCTCTTATCGCATTTATCATATGCTGATTTGAATTTTTGTTTTCTCTTTATACGATCTTCTTAGTGTTCCTGGTGGACCGTAAAATATTAATATAAGGGGTCAGCATCACATACTACTTTGTATTTTCTCATAGTTAGCAGTGGACTCCTTATAGTAAATGCTCCATTAAGATTTATTTTTAATACTATACGTAATAAAGGATATCATTCTTACCTCAGCTTATAAGGTGTTTTGATGAAAATTCCAAACCCACCATCACCATGATGGTAACAGCTATCAATTAAGAAATGACAGGGACAATACTGGCATTCTGAATAGTCTTTAATTTCACTCTTCAAGCCACCTGGCATTGTAGGTATAATGACTCTTGTTTTATAGGTGAGAAAACTAAGGTTCCAGGCATCCTGTTCAGGATCCAGATACTAAATGTTGGAGTTAGCTGTAAAATTCAACTGTCCCTGACTGTTCTCCAACACCAAATTCTGCCAGTCTTATTTTAAATATTCCTATATAACTGTTTTTAATAAAACTCATTGAAATATCTCTTAGGCTGCTTCATTGTTTTGTGTTCCCACCACCCAGAGAAAAACTGGGGGCACCCTCATCAATAGACATAGATTTTCCAACTATGTTCTTAAGTGATTTGCTTCCACTCAAAATCCCCCTCACTAGGCACTATTTCCTATTTATGGTTGCCTGACTTATTTACCTTAAAATGTTCTCCTCTCATCACATTTTTTCACAGTCAGCTAGTTCTGAAATGTTTGATTAATGTTTTTGATTATCAATTTTGTATCTCTAAAATGGGAATAATGACATAATCTATCTCATAAAGTTGCAAGTATCAAATGGATGCTTACAAAGCAGGGCTCTGCTCACAGAGTAAGCATTTAATACATTTTAGTTATTTTTTATTTAAAGCATATTTTAAACTAGAATAGCCATGTATAACCTCATTTTACAGAGAAAGAAAATGATATGCAGACAAGAGCTTTGTCTCAAATCAACCAGACATTAGAATCAGGTCTAAGAATATACTCTGACCCCATTACTTGCAATACTAATAATTTTTATAATATGCAAAATTATTTGACTTACCTTCTACCCACTTTTTTCCCACTATCTGTCATCATGTAACTTTTGTTTGCCCAAGGTCTGTTTTCTCCCCATCCATTCTAAGCAGTGTGCTCACTGGTACAATTTAATTTTTGCTGTTTCAGTTTTGAAAAGTCCTCTTAAACCCTTGCTAGTTATCAATGTTGTCCAACCCACAGGTCCTGTTCAAATAACACTCACTCATATGTTTTCCACAAAAGCCTCAGGTCATACCTACTTGTTCCTCCCTGACTTTCTCTCATGTTTCCTTTGTCTATAATAGTATGCATTTATCATAGTATTAAATTTATTATACCTTGCTTGTCCTATAAATGTTTCATAGTGTGTGGTACTGATTTTAATTTTACAGAAGGAACTATTAACATCCATAACTGGTTAGAGCTGAAGGATCTATGACTGCACTGCTTTGCCGAGACTTTGTCACTGTCATTACGGTAAGACTTGGTTTGCTATCCCATGTGTTATTTTGGACTACTGTGGAACAGGAAAATTTGTGCTTCTAAGCTTTTATACAAATGTATGAAAAATATTTTTTCAGTAATGCTTTTTGCACCTGTTCAAAAGTCAGACTTTAAGTTCAGAGTTGTCATCAACTCTACCACTAAAACTCAATTTATTATCTTCACTAATTTGCTATTTCTCCAGAGACTTGTGTAATGCTGAAACACAAAAATATTTGTTCTACAAAATATATTTTCCAAAGTGCCTAAGATAGTGGACAGAGATTTTCTAGAAATTTTCCTTTCCTGTTTCATTGTACTGCCCCAATTTCTTTCTCTTATTTTATCTTTTCCTGACACAGTAGAAGAGTTTTATAGACTACCGTGGAGTTTGGGGCAACTTACAGCTGAAGTAAAGAATCCCCCATTTCCATGCATAATTAATCTCTCCAATAACTTTAATCAACCTCTTTAACCATATTCAGGGGAGGTTTGCTGCTTAACTGTTTTATGCTGTCCATGGGTCAACTTAAGACTACATTGTCCACGGAAGCCTAAGGAATGTGTAACAGGAAGTCAACATTGTTATTCCTATGGTGATAAGGTTTGGCTCTGTGTCCCCACCTAAATCTCATCTTGAATTGTAATAATCCCCATGTGTCAAGGGCGGGACCAGGAGAAGATAATTGAATCATGGGGGCATTTTCCCCCATGCTGTTCTTGTGATAGTGAGTTAGTTCTCACGAGATCTGATGGTTTTATAAGGGCCTTCCCCTTTTGCTCGACATTCATTCTCTCTCCTGCCACCCTGTGAAGAGGTGTTTTGTGCCATGAATGTAAGTTTCCTGAGGCCTCCCCATCCATGCAGAACTGCGAGTCAATGAAATGTCTTTTCTTTATAAATTACACAGTCTTGGGCATTTTTTCATTGCAGCATGAGAATGCACTAATACATATGGTGAAATATATTCCATCTTTCATTTATAGATTCATTGTTTTAATTTGTAAACTCTTGTGAGAAAATGTCCATTTATTTTTATTTTCTGCCTATATTAGCTCTGAGAATAAGCAAGAAATTCTTCAAATTTTGAATAATAGTTTAAATATTAGCATTGTCTTTGGGTGGTAGTATCATGATTAGTTTTTTAATATATCATATAGTATTTTAAAAAATTGATATGAAGTACTTTTATAATCAGAACAAAACTACTTTAATTTCTACAAAAAAAGACTTTTCAAAGTTATCTATTTAAAGTAGTATTTCAACTTATACTTTTTAAATGTACCACAACTGTTTCTCTTTCTTCCAGTATTTTTAAAGGTATATTCTGTTGCAATGTTCAACATATTGGTCTTGGATAAAGTTACTCATCTTTGTCACTTTTAGTCATAGCAGGATCATAATTGGGACATTTAAATAGATACACTTTCATATACATACTTTTAAACTTTTTTTATTTTAAATTTTTGTAAATACATAGTAGGCATATATATTTATGGGTTATGTAATACAGGCATGTAATGTGTAATAATCACATCAAAGTAAATAAGATATCAAGTATTTATCACCTCAAGCATTGATCTTTTGTGTTAAAAACAATCCAATTATTCTCTTTCAGTTATTTTCAAATATGCAATTAAATAATTTTTGAGTATCATCACTCTGTTATACTAGTAAACGCTAAGTCTTATTTCGTCTTTCTAACTATAGTTTTGTATCCATTAACCGTCCCCACTTTTCCACCATTGCACCCCTCCACTACCCTTTCCAGAATCTGGTAACCATCCTTCTACTCTCTAGCTCCATGAGTTCAATTGTTTTAATTTTTAGCTCTCACAAATAAGTGAGAACATGTGAAGTTTGTCTTTCTCTGCCTAGCTTATTTTACTTAATAGAATGACCTCCAGTTCCATCCATGTTGTTGCAAATGACAGGATCTCATTCTTTTTATGGCTGAATAGTACTCCATTGTGCATACGTACTATGTTTTCTTTACCCGTTTATCTGTTGATAGACACTTAGGCTGCTTCCAAATCTTGGCTCTTAGGAATAATGTTACAATAAACATGGGAGTGTGGATATCTCTTTGACATACTGATTTCTGTTCTTTTGGGTGTATACCTAGGAATGGGATTGAATAGGATTGCTGGATCATGTAGCTTTTTGAGGAACCTTGAAACTGTTCTCCACAGTGGCTGTACTAATTTACATTTCCACCAACAGTGTATGAGGCTTCTCTTTTTCTCCACATCCTCGCCAGCATTTGTTATTGACTAGCTTTTGAATAAAAGCCATTTTAACTAGAGTGAGATTATATCTCATTGTAGTTTTTATATGCATTTCTCTGATGATCAGAGATGTTGAGCACCTTTTCATATACCTGTTTGCCATCTGTATGTCTTCTTTTGAGAAATGTCTATTCAGATATTTAGCCCATTTTAGAAACAGATTATTATGTAATTTTTCTACAGAGTGGTTTGAGCTTCTATATATTCTGGGGATTAATTCTTTGTCAGATGAATAGTTTGCAAACATTTTCTCCCGTTCTGTGGGTTGTCTCTTTGTTGACTGTTTCCTTTTCTATGCAAGAAGCTTTTTAACTTGATGTGATCCCATTTGGCCATTTTTGCTTTGGTTGCTTATGCTTATGGGGTGTCAATCAAGAAATCTTTGCCAAGACCAATGACCCGGAGAGTTTCCCCAATGTTTTCTTTTAGTAGTTTCGTAGTTTAAGGTATTATATTTAAGTCTCTAATCCATATGGAGTTAACTTTTGTGTATGGTGAGAGGTAGAGATCCAGTTTTATTCTTCTGCATATGAATATTCAGATATCCTAGCACCATTTATTGAAGGAACTACTCTTTCCCCAATGTATGTTCTTGGCACCCTTGTCAAAAATGAGTTCGCTGTAGATGTACGGATTTATTTCTGGGTCCTGTATTCTGTTCTCTTGGTCTTTGTGTCTGTTTTTATGCCAATAGCTTGCTGTTTTCGTTTCGATAGCTCTGGAGTATAATTTGAAGTCAGTTGATGTGATTGCTCCAGTTTTGTTCTTTTGCTTAGGATATCTTTGGCTATTCTGGGTCTTTTGTGGTTTCATATAAATTGTATAATAGTTTTTTATATATCTGTGAAGAAGGTCATGGATATTTTGATAGGGATTCCATTAAATTGGTAGATTGCTTTGGGTGGTATGGATATGTTAACAACATTGAGTCTTCCAATTCATAAACATGGAATAGCTCTCCATTTCTTATGTCTTCTTCTATTTCTTGCATCAGTGTTTTTTATAGCCTTAATTGTAGAGATCTTTTACTTCCTTGGTTATGATAATTCCTAGATATTTTATTTTATTTGTAGCTATTGTAAATGGCATTTCTTGATTTCTTCTTATTATTCATTATTGGCTACTGATTTTTCTGCGTTGATTTTATATTCTGCAACCTTCCTGAATTTTTGTATCAGTTCTAATAGTTTTTGGTGGAATCCTTAGGCTTTTCCAAATACAAGATTATATTTGTCCAAACAAGGGTATTTTGACTTCTTTCTTTCCAGTTTGAATGCCCTCTACTTACTTCTCTTGCCTGATTGCTCTAGCTAGAAATTACAGTATTATGTTGAATCACAGCAATGAAAGTGGGCAGGATAGTGGGCTTTCCTCTGGTCCAGGGCAGGTCAAGAAATGCTGTCTAAGAACCAAAGATTCCATAACCCCAAGATCTTCCTTGGTGTTTTACCCGCACCTCTCCCCCGCTCCCTTCCCCTCTGCATCTGAGTTGGTATCTAAAGTGCACGACAAAGTCTTTACTTTTTTCTCTCAAGCTGAATGAGGAGTCTCTCATGCTACCTCCCGCAGCCGGGAATGTGCTGGATCTCACCTGAAGCCAGTACATCTCAGAGTCTCACTCAAGTCCCATGCCATACACCTGGCTATTCTTGCTCTGTATTCAATGCTCAAAGGCACTTTTGTCAGCAGGTAATGAATGCTGCCATGACTGGGTCCTTTCCTTAAAAGCAGCAGGTTTCTTTCTGGCCCAGAGTATGTCTAGAAATGTCATCCAGACCTAGATCATGGAATGTGGGCCTCATGTCTCTGCCCAGTGTCCTATCCTACTGTGGCTGAGCTGGTATCCAAGATGCAAGACAAAGTCCTCTTTACTCTTCCCTCTCCTCTCCTTATGTGAAAGGAAGGGTCTCTTTTGGAACTGCTAGCTGTGTTACCTGTGTTTGTGGGAGGGGCAAGCACTCTGTTAGCCACCTCAGCTAGTGTCTCAGTAGGTGATATGCTCCCCACGTCCACTGGCTCTGAGTCCAGCTCAGCACTAGGATTTGCCTAGGAGTTGCAGTCCTTGTGGCCTAGACTGCCTTTCAAGTTTATTTAGTGCCCCACAGCCATTTACCTTGCAGTGGAAAGGCTTGCCAGAACTCAAATTCTTATTGCTGTGGTGGGCAATTTCCTTCTGGATAGGACTGGTCTTAATGCCCCCATTGTAGGCAGACATCAGCTGAGTTCAGCTCAGTTTTGCTTTCTGTTGTGACAGGGCAGCATTGAGTTCAATGCAAAGTCACAATTGCTGTGCTCTCCCTCTCTTAACCACACAGACTTTCTCTCTGTGTCACATGGCTGCTGCCAGGGGATAGGGGAGCAGTGGCATCAGCAATTCAAGATCATCTTTCCTACGCTTTTCCATGTTGCTTTCAATGATGGTTAAACTCAGGTACTATGAACGTTCACCTGACTTTTGGTTCTTACAAAAGTGCGTTTTGTGTAAACAGTTGTTAAATTTGGTGTTTTGGCAGGGGGCATGATCAGTGGAGCCTTCTATTTGGCCATTTTGCTCTGCCCCTCTCTTGACACATTTTTAATGGTCCCAAGACATCCCACTAAATTGCTCCAGTGTCATCCATTGCCTCCTGGGGAAAGCAGTTTAATACCCAGAAGGAAAAAAAATTCCATTGGGTTGCCCCATAAATATTTTTAACTCACGGCAGAGAA